TCTTTGTGAAAAAGAAAAAAAAAAGCTGTGTCAAGAACAACTTTTATTCACATTCCTGTTTAATTAATATAATCAAGGATTCCATTGTTTGCATTCAAATAGAGATAAATGTACATACCACAAAATAATGTAAAATTCTACATTACAATACTTAGTACACACTTGGATGTTCGTTAATTTCTTTCAGATTCACAAATTAAACTACTGTTGAAGAAAAATAATTCTAAGATTTTAGTAACTCGCACTGTACCTGTTGCCTATATGTCAGACAATATTTTATTCCATTCACTGCAATTCTCTGATAGATAAAACAAAGATGCTAGAAATGAAGGCCAGATGATGCAACTTTGTTTGCAGTGTAGATTTTGACAATACATTCATGCTGTATGCAAGATGTTGTAAAGAACAAATTTCTGCCGGTCAAATCTGTCAAATTGTTTCATTCAATCAATAAATAATCTTCCTCATTTATCTAACTGAGATCTTAGGTGTCCATTCTTGTACATGACGTTGTCTCTGGTGGCTGCTCCAGTCACAGTTGTAGCAGAAGCAGAGATTCATATTGTTGGAGGAGTGGCATGCTTGGAAATATTTTATCATTAGTACAAGCGCCAATGTGCACAATATCTGAAGCACTATGATGATTTATTGTCTTATGGTTTAGTTCTTGTATTTTTTTAGACATAAAACTTTTGACAGTACATTTTGGAAGCTTAGGCCAAAAGCTGTCCTTACTGCGAACAAAACCCCATAAGACAGTGCCTTCCTGAGTACTGCACAAATGTCGAGTTGAAATTTAATGCTTAAACAATAAATGCTTATACATTGCTAGGCATTATAAATAGGAGTATGACCTACAAAATGATTCTTTGCCCATATGTTGGAAAGTACCACAAATTGATTACATTGAAAGGAAATACAATGAGTGTGGAATCTCAATGCTCAGATCCACGCTTTCTGTAAAAAGCAAAGAAGCAAATGTTACAGGCAGCATTGGGAAAATACGAAAATATCCTCTTCAGAGGACTAAGATGTCAAGGTTTAAACTTTTAGTGACAAAGAATGGTACGGAAAGATGGATGAACTATTGAACGAAATGTTCTCCATTTCATTACATCTTTTTGTTGCTGTCTTGCAGTACCAACAATTTGATCATATAAAGGAAGTGCCAAAAGGATGGGTTGTAATTACATTGCATAGCAGATTTTGCTGAAAACTTAGAAAATTTTTTTTTATCAAGAAGTAACTTAGAATTTTTTTTTTATCAAAATGAAGTACAGTCTGTTCATGGGCAATAACAGCAAATAACATTGCACACAACAGTAGCTTATAACAAATGATTGCATTGAAAGGAATTAGGCCTTTCCGACACTATTCTCTTAAGTTCGGATGTTTTTTCCCCCTAAGTTTTAAGGAATAAAGGTAAACGATTTATATATAACATCAAAGAAGAACAAATTCTGATTTTCGATTGACAAAGAATTTTTCATAGATTTTTTGAATAAAAATCGAAGATTTTCGAGTTTAAAGCGAGACACCTAGGAATTAATGGTGACTCGTTAAGTCCCTTCTACTGTATAATACTATTTTAGGATCTCCGGGAGAGCTGGCAGGTCTCTTGGCAGGATTAAAGTATAAAATTTGCAGTCATTTCTTAAGTACTCGTACTTAATTATACAGTTTTGGGTTACGGTCCAGGAAGATATGGAAGTTTCCGTCTGCAGATTGCAAGTTTTCGAGAAAGATAATAAGTGCCGAAATTGAAGATGGGTCCGCCTGTGGTATGGTTTTGGATGTTTTGAACGTCTAGCGCCACCATTTCCTTCTGCTGCGCCTCCAAGGTGAGTAACTTAAGTGATTTCTTGTTCATTAATAGAAGATTGGGTCTTGAATTTAAAGGTGTCAAAATTTCATAGGCAGATTTATATGTTCATTAATCTGTTGCAACTAATCAATTATGCCATCAATTAACAAAAAAGAGAGGTTTTTTTTGTTCTTTCCGATTTCGATGATCCACTGAGGTGGATGTCTCCTGCCAGACTCTCCCTGTTGCTAGATTCGGGCTGGGCAGTCTCGGAGGGTTCTGGAAGATGATCAACTGAAATTGGATAGAGTTCACATCTTCAAACGTTGTGGCCACTTGATGCAGGTGTCGTGCTGGAGCACGGGTAGTTGGCGTATGGTCTTATGGTGCAGCTAATATATATATGCTTTAGTATATTTTGTTCTTCCCCAGACACCACGTGTACCAGACTTGCAGAATTCAGGATTGAGTTAACCCAGAGTGTGATGCGCCCTTCCTTGACCTACTTAAAAATGACATTGTTCGCTTCGAGAGACTTATTTTTCTTGTCAATAAAATCGTTGAAGGCGTCTCTGGACAAGCCAATTATTGTAACTATATGTCACTTTATTGTTTTCACATTCGTCTTTATTACATTTCACTTTGAACTTTTATCATTCTTCATTTTGTCCCTACTTCTATGTTGCTTTATTCTTGTAAATTCATGGTATTTTCTTTTAAATTGATACAGCTTCCTAAATAACTTATTATGATTATTTCTATTACCATCGTAAATTGAATCACGCAAACAATGAAGCATATTCAAATTAAGCGCTTGCTTGTTGTCAGTTTTTTTTTTAAAACTACACCTTGTATTTCCTACAAATACACATCGACCATTGCTTCCAAGCTTTTCAATTACAAAAAAACTTTTCATGGTCTGGATACCGAGTATCTGAAACATAATCCTCCATCGTGTTCATGTTCTTCTTTGCCCTATAACTATAGTCCTGCCGGACACATTATTACAGGTGACGTAAATATAGTTAATAATGAGGACCTTAGATCACTTGTTTTCAAAGGGTCCTAAATATACGGAACCCCGATCCTTCAACTGGCGTCGGAATTTGATAAATATTATGGATTCTGTTGAAAATTATGCTAGACGATGGGCCAGATATAAAAAAGAAAACGTTGACACTGTCAGAATGGTTTAAATGTATCAGATCCATGTTAAAGTCGCGTATTAAAGATTGAGGGGCAATATGAAAACCATCTATCCTTCTGTGTTCAATAATCCAAAAGAATTAGTTAGATTACATGATCAGTACGTACTGGTCCCTATCGACAAAGCAGGTAATATTTTTTTCGTTTAATGGGCTCATTATATAAATTGTATTTTAGAAGAACTTGGATTTAATTCTACTAGTGGTAATTCTACTTATACTCATACTTCCCTTTCTAAGGAAGAAGTTCTTCAAAATCACATGTCAGTTTTGAATATTTTAAATATTCCACAGAGCCAAAATGAATTTGAACTACCCTATATATATTGGATTCCGAAACTTCAAAAAAAATCCTTACAAAGATACATTGCGGGTTCTAGTAAATGTTCAACCACGCCTCTTTCGTTACTCCTCACTAAGATATTAACAGTAGTGAAGAAAAAACTTCAAGAGTACTGTGCAACAATAGATTCAAGAAGTGGTGTGAATCAGATGAGGATACTCAAAAATTCCAAAGAACTTTTGGACAATTTGAAATCACAAGATTTTACCAAAATCAGCAGCTTAAAAACTTACGACTTTTCAACTTTATACACAACCACTCCCCACGATAAATTAAAGTCCAGGCTTTTGATATCATTGACAGCTGCTTTTTCAATAAAAATGGAACTCGTAAATTTACTTACCTGGTCATTGGTCATTTGCAAAATTATATTGTTAAAACACATTCTGATTGCACACACAAGTACTCTGAAGTTGACATCAAAAAGATGCTTGAGTTTCTGATTGACAATATCTATATGTGGTTTTTGGAGACCGGGTCTTCCAACAATCTATTGGAATTCCCATGGGTATCAATTGCGCTCCGTTATTAGCAGACCTATTTTTGTATTCATATGAAGCAGAGTTTGTGCAAAATCTTATGCATGATAAGAAGAAAACACTTGCTGTGGTCTTCAACTCGACATTTAGATATATCGATGACGTATTGTCAATTAACAATGGTAATTTCCATTCCTACGTCGATACGATATATCCTGGAGAGCTTGAGATAAAAGATACCACAGAGTCTGACACATCTGTTTCATACTTGGATATTTTACTTGAAAGGGACGTTAATGGTAATCTAACAACCAAGCTATATGATAAACGTGATGACTTGAACTTTTCTATCCTCAGCTACCCTTACTTATGCAGCAATATACCTTCATCACCTGCATACGGAGTATATATATCTCAGTTGATTCGATATGCAAGAGCATGCTCTAAGTATGAACAATTTCTAAAACGAGGTAGATTATTGACAAGCAAGTTGATGAAACAAGAATATCATCATTTCGTAAGTTCTATGGTCGATACACCTTGTCAGCAAATACAATTTATCATTAAGACGCAACGTCAGGAATTGCTACCAAACGTTGTAACGTCAAAATAGACGTCAAAAAAGATTTTCTGGACCCGTAGTGTAGACTATTTAAATTTAGAGAATCATTTATCGCATTAAACTTATCTGTACTTGTAAACAAGATCCCTTAATAAAAAAAGTATGAATCATCAATATATTGGCTTTTAAAATTTGAAATTTATATACAATTTAAGGCCTAACGAAATTCTTTTTTTTTCACTTTCTCTTAAACATTATAAATACATGTATTATTATTGTCACTCTGAGATTGGGTTATGTCCCCTAAAAACTTACATGTATTACTGACATAAAAAAAATCATCAAACACCGACACAATGCCAATCATTATAAATATCTTCCCCCAGTCTTTATATCTTAATAACTTTAAATTCAAAAATAACTTTTTCAATGATTTGTTTTTTTTATTAATCAGAATTCATCGAGAGCTTCTAGAATATCCAGATGAATGTCTTCATTCAACTGTATCTTTTTTCCAGAGGCCATAATTTCAGACTCAGTCAAAATAAACTTAACTGAAACAGCGTAGTTTAATGCAGTGCGCTTTGGCACAAGTTTATAGAGGTGTTTTTTCTTGTCAACTATGTCAAAGTAATATCCACGAATTATTTTAGCTCCCCTTGGGAAAGTTATCCCCCAGTGATCTGTAAAGTCATCTATCAAAATCTCTGGTTCACCAAGAACTTTCATTAAGTAGTAGTCGGCATCGTCGTCGTCTGCAACAACTGCAACTATCGTGTTAGCAGTTATTAAATCAAGTAACGATTCGGTTTCGGCCAAAATTTGCTCTCCATGTGTACTCGGAACTTCTCTGGTCATTTTGAGGCGCCGAGTATTTCCTCGTATTCCCAAGTTTTGACAAGATGAGTAATTTTCGTCAATGCACTGCTCACATGTGTAACACGACAAGTTTGTTAAAACTATCTCCGATTCCTCATTTGTTGTTCGCACACTGTGAACTTTTCTAATGTCCGCAATACTTCTAAATTGTTGCGCCACATCTCGAGGAATAAATTCTACATACCTAAAAATCCTACGTTTGCAATTTGAACTCCCGGATTTCGGGTGCCTCAAATTTTTTTCACAAAAGTTATAGAGGTCTTTACCATTTTGTATGACCGTTCTTCCTCGAATTACAGAGAGATCCGCCTCACGTTTAATATATCCTCCAGCTGCATCCTGAGCTCCTTTTGCATGAGCCGTTTCGAAGAAATTTCGAATCATTGTCTCATAACCCAAGTCAGAGACTGTCGATGCTAAGACACCAAAACAGTGCCTGCTCTTGTATTGCACAGCACACCCATCATTGAATTCATGCATTATTTTAGGGCTGTAATTTATTTCTTGCAAATAATCTGCGATTGATTTCTGTACATAGTGTGTAAAATAGTGGTCGCGTTTATCGTCTTCACTTATCACGAAAAACTCTTCCTTTATAATTACTGGATCATCAGCTGTACTCTCCACTCCGTCAATCTCCAGAATTGCATGTCTATAAAGGAGTGATACGTGTATCGATACTTCAATCTTTTGAAAATATCCCGACTGTATTTCATTTCTATCGAAGCATCTATAACTTTCCGAGTAGTCATTTATTGCCACGCAGTGATGTTGTGGTAAATTATCCAGTAGCGAGCGCAACTGTGCCGATTGCCATGTGGCGCTAAATTGATGGTACGGAAAACTACTCAGAATCTGTAAAAAGTATGTAAACATTTCATACGGGTTCGTTTTTCTTTTGACGAGCATAAGTTTTCGAACAACTTTTGAACCTCGTTTTACATCGACATATTCATATTTCTCCCAATGTACCTCCGGTAAATTTTCATCTCTAGATTTTTCCTCTTCCATAAGTTTTAAAGTTTTTATCCCACATTTTTCACAATTTCTTTGCAAACATTGAAGTTTTTGACCATTATTTTCCGAGTTTGAACATAGTGTATCATTGATTAGTTCATTTAAATTTTCGTAAACCTTAAATTCTTCAACTAATTCTGGTCTGGTTTGCAGTACTTTACGTCTGTATTCCATGCAGCATCTAAACATACCGCGAATTTCAATATGGTACCGACAGCAACATGTTTGTTTGTCTTTAGGTCGGACATGTTGCACAAAAAACGGCTTTAATTTTTCAAAGGCACGTTGTGAAATTTTAATTTGAGGATTCATCTCTTTGAATTCTATATAAACTTCTGTCTGTGTCTTTTCCAAAACATATAGTGCATGAGAAACAAATTGTTTCCGTCCTGTTCTCATTCTTTTCACGTCATTTTTATTTCCCGTCGGCCTTGAAATACCCGGAGAAGTCCAGAAATTGTAAACAATTTTTTTGTGATCATCATTAATAGCGTCTGATCTAGTTTTTCTGTTGGTAAAATTCCAACATGCGGCGTCTGTTTTAAGAACAGTTGCTCGATGCCTTTTTCCTCTACTTAGTCTTTTGCTACTCAGACCGAGGCTTCTACTCACTTGTTTTTTATTTATTTTCTCAGAACTAACGGATGTAGTAATAACTTCCATAACGGTCACTGCCGTTTTAGATCGCTGTTTTTTCGTAGTCGAAATTATTTCTTGTAAATTTTCGATAATTGCAGAATTTGTAGCATGCTCGACTTTTTCCTCAGGACTAGTAATTACATTCATGTCTCTCAAAATTTTTACTGTTGGTGAATTGGGGTCTTTTGTGCATTCTGACAAAATAGTTGCACGCTTTTGAGGTGTTGACGGAAGCGATTCTTTTACTTTGCGCAATGCCCTCCATTGTGCCATTCTGTTATTATAGGGCGTCCTTTTTTCATTATTAAGTTGCGTTTCCTGAATGTCTGATGTTGCCTCTTTAATCTTTTCTCGATATAATCTTTTCCTATTTCTCTCCTTTAATTTAATCTGACTCTGTTTTTCTCGTTGCTTTCTTTTCTTTAATGCGACTTCCGTTATACTTTTCTCAATTTTGTGATGGACCCGTCGATCTTCTTTATATTTGTCTTTGTTTTTCGCCCATGATTTGCGTTTTTGTTCCAATCTTTTCTTCTGTTTCTTTTGTAAATAATACAACTTTCTCTCTGTTCCTAAAATTCACGTAATGAACAAATAAATAACACTATGTAAAAATAAATAAATAATGTATGTATGTATATATGTAGATGTATGTACGACTGTATAAATGCATGTTTTTTCCTCTTTTTTAAAAGAATGTCGTTTACAATTTATACGTGTTTGTGTCTTTCCTAGTACACTATTCTCATTGTTAAAAATGCAATTACAAAAAAAGCGGGGGGGGGGGGGGGCATATTTGTGCGATGGCAGCCCCATTGATAAATACAATAATTTCGTGTAGATTAACTTTTAAATATTACTGATAGGATTTGTTTAATTAATAAATATTTGAAAAAAGGAAGTACATTTTCAATAACGAAAATTCTGACGTCAAACGTCACTCAAGCTTACAGGGGGGACATTCCTGCAAGACATTTTCATTCTTTTGTAAATATCTTATTAAAAGTTAAAACCAAAAGAAACTTATATGTATCGAAAGTGCTTTAAGAGTACTTTTTGTTAATTTCATTTTTTGACACATTTTGCAACTTGAATTCGGAATAGATCCATAGGTATTTCATAGCATATATTTGACATGACGTAATTTACCTTTCGGGACATATTTGCAAGACAAAGAAAAAGTTCATGTACAAGTACAAATCATTGAAAAAAATTTAACATTTTGGGGGATATAATAACTTTTCTAAAGTACTGAGTATATGTAAAATCAAATTTGCACATTACCTGATAAATTTTTCATTTTATCTCAATGAAGAACTGGAAGATTTAACTTTTTTGGAATGGGACACCTTCACAGGCTTTTGTTCAAGTAGCTTCTTACACCCATCTCATCAACGTAGACAGCCATAATTACCGTTACGTCTTCATATGACGTCATAGAACATTCTTACAAAATTTCGTAGAATTACGTTAAGATTTCGCGGAATTTTATAGAAAAACATAGTGTATGATATGTTCTTTGTTACGACGGGACAACGGTAAAAATGACGTTATTCCCTAATATTATGGCCTTTAATTGTTTAAATACCCCGAAAATTATATTTTTTTTTTTGTAATAGTCTTATTGGTAAGAAAATACCCTTTATTTTCTTATGCATTAATATATACTTATCACCAGAATTTATCACGAAAGCTTTGGTAAAACGGATTAACAATTCATTTTCCAGTTGGTAGCAATTCCTGACGTTGCGTCTAAGTCAAATGCTGACTGATGTTTTTCATACTAATTGTTAGTCCATTATTATACATTGAGTTGACGGATTTTCCGTTATTTTTCGATCATGACAAGCAGGGGATGCTCACTCCTCCATGGCACCTGATCCCACCTCTGATGTTTCAGAGGTCCGTGTTTGCTCTGCTCCTATTTTGTATTGTTTTATGGACTTTGATATTGAATACTATTCGTTATCTCCATATCCTTCTTTGATGTGCCAGTTACTTAGATCCGCCACCACTTTTCTCTCTTCAGTACTATTTCAAGGCTGTTATTTGAAAATGAAAGTAGACTTTTAATTAAATTTACGATAATTACTATGCGAGTGAAATCTGAATATAGTTTACGGAAATCACCTTATACATGTACCTAGTGTATTCCTACAGGTTTTAGTAAGAACTTTTGTGCAGCCGTTTCCGAGTTTATTTGCAAAATAAGCCTCTGGTTTTATCGTTCATTTATAACCCCAACCGGAACCTCTGTATCCCATCTAAAGTCTTATTTTGTTTCGAGGTAATTTTCGTAGAATAAATGAGTGGTTTACAATAAAGAGGCTCGTCCTGAGACGTCTTAAACGATTTAATTGACAAGAAAAAAGTCTTTCGAAGCGAGCGATGTCATTTTAAGCTCTACTGGTCAGAGACCAGAAGAGCTTATGTATGCCTTTCAACTAATTTTTCAAGTTGCTCATATGGTAAAAAACATTGCATAGATAGAGTTATAGGTACATGAAATTATCAAAAAAGATAGTAACTTATGCATACATTTAATTACATTATTAAAAAGTTTAATTATTTATAATTGACTTTTCCGATGTTGTGTTTTAAGTAATGGATATATGCCGAATACTGTTCTATATGTAAAATTATCAGACTGTTTGAGGCCCGTTAGGGCCGAAAACTGTCTGATAATTTTACATATAGAATAGTATTCGGCATATACAGTGTATCTTACTTAAAACATTGCCATTTAAATGTCCAAAAGTTACCTGGAGGAGTCCGATAATAACACAATGGGAGTTTAGGCATGAATTGTTATTTACCCGTCTAATAAGTAGACAAAAGAAATGAGACAGTAAAAACAGTGAGTGAACTCTTGTTTCATTTCATTCAGTCAATGGCAGTCGTTTAGATAAGCAGGACAGGGGTCCGGTTGGGAAGGATTTTCTTTTTTATTTTGGAACATTTTTATTTATTTTGTGCATAAATTGACCTTGATACAAATTTTTTTGGGGTGAAATTATAACCGTCACCATGGAAAGTAAAAATGCAGATCTTCATCCTGAAGTTTTAGTTTATATTATGGAAATTCTCAGGTTTTACAAGTGCGGCCATTTGGAAACAATCCTTATAAAATAAATAGATTTGCCGATTTTTTCTCATAAATGGATTTAAATTCGCTTATTCAAAGTGCTGTATTAAAAACACTTAAAAGATAGGAAGTATTATTTTGAGGATGGTTTAAACTCGATTTTTTCATGGATTTGCTATTTTGTATCAGCTAAATTTCCTTGCGATTGCTTACCCTGATTTTTTCCCTAATTTTTTGGGGGGTGGTGGTGGACATATTTAACTTATTCCACTCTTCTTTTTGTTTTTAAATACCGTCCGATTTTGTTATCATTGCCGTCCGATAATATATTATCAGACTGGTAATTATTATTATCGGACGGCTACAGGTAAATTTTTAGACTGCAAGAACAAAGGCATGACGTCACAGCAATGTTTTAAGGATAGGTAACTCAGGTGTGAAAAATGACCAACTTAGTGCAGATTTATGAGTTATCGTTTATAGGAATGACATATAGGCTGCTTCAGCATTGGTATTGTTATGTACACAAAAGGGTTCCTTACATTGTTTTGTACACGAAAGTGTTGACCATGAGAAAGAGAATGCCTTCACTCTACCTGAAATAACAGGGTCAAATAGATGGGGAACAGACTATATTCAATATTTTTAACTCTCTTTGACAATTATTATGAAGAAGAAAATTTCATGTCATGTTTTTTGATTTCGCGGTTTTTCGCTTCCTAGATAAATATATATATTTTTACAAGTAAATGCAACAATTGATCATCTTACTTGTGTTACTAAGCACGAAGGGGAACGACCGAGTAAAAAAATTTAATTAGGTTAGAACTAAGAAGGAGGGTAGATTTCACTTTTTATTTTAATTAAAACTTTTAATTATATGAAGTGAAATGGTGTCCGCAACTATACAGTAAATAAGTTTAACATTGATGCTACATTTTAAAACCACTGGATTCTACTGAGAGCAAAGAAACACTTGGGAAATGCTAAAAACTGCCTTGCGTGTAAACAGTTACATACCCCGAGCCTGCTCTCAACAAGTTTCAACAGTGAGTTATCGTTCATAAAACCGACCCCTAGCGGCAGTTGAAAGGCCTAGCTTATGTTATGCGATGGTGAGGTGTCTATCGTCCGTCTGTCTGATGTAAACAATTTTTCAAAATGCGACTCCTACAGTTTTGGTCTGATTTCAGTATAAATTGGCACAAAAGTAGACTGCACAAAGAAATATAAATAAGTGCATCAGTTTTTTTATTTCAATGAACGGTGTTGCCGTGGTTACCAAAAATAGGCATTTCTGTGAAATTCCTTTAAAACGCTACTCCTCTTTCAGTTTTGGTCTGATTTCAATATAACTTGGCACACAAGTAAACTACACTAAGATACATAAGTAAGTGCATCGTTTTTTTTATTTCGAAGAACGGTGTTGCCGTGGTTACTAAAAATATAAATTTCTGTGAAATTCCTTTAAAACGCTACTCATCTACAGTTTTGGTCTGATTTCAATACAACTTGGCACACAAGTAGACTACACTAAGATACATAAGTTAGTTCATCAGTTTTTTGATTTCGAAGAACGGCGTGTTGGTGTGGTTACTAAGTCTTAATTGTATTCTGCGCGCTCGCGCAACGGAGTTTGTTTATAAAATTGATCGCTTATACAATTTTGTTAGCATTACATTCAATGTTCCTCTACTAATCAAAGTACTGATAGGAGTTGATTTTAATGACGGTTTCAATAAAAGTTTACGTTTGACACGTTCACAACTTTTCAAATTATGTTTATTTATGCTTCATAAGGAAGTTTGTGAAAATTAAAAAAAAGAAAATGACACGATTCTACAGAGTCAAAAAGGTAAGGTTTGTTTTGATCTCGACATAACCTTAGAATGATTTGCCAGAAGACTTTTTCTCTGTTCAATTTTTCAATAAATTAATAAAGTATTTTTCTTGTAAAAAGTTTGTTTAAAATTATTAGCAAATTATATTACATATTATATTAATCATAGCAAAACAATTTCTGTAACTAAAGTTACTGGAGTCCCCATCCTCTTATAAAGAAAAGTAAATTTTTAGTAGTAGTTCATTAATTATAAAGCATGGTATTGATCTTTACCTTAAAGCGTAACAGGGAATCTTTTCAAGCACTGATACCAATGTCAGCTTATTGCCATGAAAATCGTCTTTAAAAAGGAGGTTAAATTCTAGAGTCTGGGTTCGTAACGTAATACTTTTAAATTTAAATTTGTTACATTGGCGTCGGAAGCAAATTGAAAGTGTGTGTGTGTGTGGGGGGGGGGGGGGGGGGTAAGTGAAAGAAAAAAATTCGAACCTGAAAAATATTAACGAGCAAAAAAAAAGGGGGGGATGTGTCTATTGTCCGGGTTAGTTAACCCTAACCCGAACTTCTTCCCGTTCCAAATTTTCGTTTCAAACACCACCACTTACCCGACTACACTGCAACGTGCCTGTTGAAGGGGGGGGGGGGGCTATACCTACGCCCCAATGTTTATTACCTATATTATGTCTATCTTTGTAAGCCCCCCCCCCCCCCCCCCTCGGTTCCGACGCCTACATAAAGTAAATTAATAGAATCCAAAGCACTAAATATTATAGTTAAACTCTGGAGATATATACACTGTATATGAATGTATGTATTGAGAGAGAAATCGAAAGTAGGCCAATTCAAAAAATTGGGGTAAAATTTCGGATTAATCTTGCACAAATTATGGTAACGTATGTATGCAAAGGGGATCCGGATCCCTGGAAAATTCACATTTATTGCAGCCTGGAGGACCGGGCTGCTCTATACATATAAGTTTAAGTGTTGGTGTATGGGGATTGAGGTGGGAGAAGTTATGCAGAATTAAAGGTTTCCTAAACATTAAAAAAAATTGTTAATCAGAATGTTCTTTCCCTTTATAAATTACGTATAAAATACCTTTCTCCCTTACAATGTATAGTGGTGTATTTTTTGTGGAGCGATTGTTTTTTTTTTTGGGGGGGGTGACGATTTTTTCATATTGTACATATGGTGAATAAGTGTAATAAATATAATTTTCGAAAAAAAATGTCCAATAATCCCCGGGGTTGAATATCGGGGTGGGGGTGGGGGGTCCTGTCCACAAGTACCTGTGACACATAGGTAAAGAAACGACCGGGGGGTGTTGGGGGTGTTGACCTATTGGATTTTTGGCGCAACGGAACATTTATGACCTTTACTGGAGAGGGGGGAGACTCTATATAATATGAAGAAGATACCGATTGAGGCATTGTATGAGCTGGTTTAAGAATAGAAATTCTTGGTAATGTAGCAAAGAAAATACAGGGGAGTTAAAAGGAGTGTAGAAAATAACTCAGAGTGTATGTTGTATAAAGAAATCCAGAGAGCTCCGAATGTGAAGATGTGAAGTAGCTTGGTCCTTTGGGTCATTTTTGTCAAGAAATGATGGATTTATTCGTTATTTTTAGTGTAAGTTCTTGTTTCTGGAATTTGTAATATTGGCTGAATTGACCAATCAGAAATTAGAGTCTATCTTCGGTTGTGCTTAGACGTAAAAAAAAACAAACTCCCCTGTCTTTGTTTAGAACAATCAGATAATGACTCGGGCTTTTCCGTCAGAAAAAAAACCCGGAAATTTTGAAGTATTACAA